TGAGAGAGTTGTCTGGGATCCTGGAAAGTTAAATGATGCCCAGGATCTCACAGAAGCGGGATTTGAACACAGGTCTTCCTGACTCCACATCTGCCCTGTGTCTACCAGGCCATGCTACCCCTCTGAAGTGTCATTCTGAGTTAAAAAAAAATGAAGAAAAACAATCCTTCAGGCTGTACAGATGGTCGTTTTGGGTGAACATGGCATGGGAGCCTTACTCTCTTTCCCTTCCTCAGGGGATGGACTATCTGGGGTCCTGTCAGTATGTCCACCGAGATCTGGCAGCGAGAAATGTCCTCGTTGAAAACGAGCACCGCGTAAAGATCGGAGATTTTGGCTTAACGAAAGCCATCGAAACAGACAAGGAGTACTACACAGTGAAGGATGATCGGGACAGTCCTGTCTTCTGGTAAGGAACAGAGTCAGATACCAGTAATAACACATAACATTGCTTGAGCCTTGTAGCAGTTCGATGGGGCCAGCCCCAGGGCTAACATGCCCCCATTTTATAGATGAGAATACTCATCCATGTCCTATGGAGCTGATATCGGGGCATCAAAGACCACTGAGCCCAACATCCAGCTGATGGGGAAAGTTTAGGGTCCAATAAGAGATTCCTCCATCCATTTCATGAGCCCAAAGGGATCTCAGAAGTCATCTAGTGCATCTTTACAGATGGGGAAACTGAGGCCCGTGGAAACGTAGTGACTTGCCCAAGGTCCTTTTTTGTCCATTGTTTTAGTATTAGCCTGGCTGTTTGGAAAGGCTCCTCAGCCTGAGATTGGTCAGAGGAACTCATTAAACCATTTGGTTAGAGCTGGCTGCAGTCAGGAAAGCCTGGGTTCGTGCACTGCTTCTGATCCATGATGTCCGTGTGATCCTGGCAAGTCTGACCCTGTCAGTGCTCCAGCCAGCCAGACTTTATATTACAGAACTGTCACAGATCTGCCTTGGTAAAAGGATTTTCCTTATCCTACACTTACGAAATCTTCCCCCACATAAAAAGGGTGCTTGTGCCCAGTGCGAGGAGTACCTCAGGCATCAGGGAAACACAAATCCTGAAAGCAGCAACGTTCTGTCACTTACCTCTGTACTCTTAAAGGCTAAAACAGCGAGGTGAAGAGTGCAGATGCTGTTATCTGTGAGTTACTGATGAGGAGCCAGAGGGTCAGAGAGGAGAGCCCCAGAGCCAAGTCTCGACTCACCCCCAGCACTCCTGATAACCCTGGTCTGTTTCACTTGTGATCAACGAAGTCTGTCGATTTCTCACGCCGAGAAATCACACGATTCATATTGTCTTTCCTTCCAGGTACGCGCCAGAGTGTCTAGTCCAGTGCAAATTTTATATCGCCTCTGACGTCTGGTCATTCGGGGTCACGCTACACGAACTCCTCACCTACTGCGACTCAGAATCCAGTCCCATGGCGGTAATTGTTCTTCTTGCCTTTCCCCCCAAAGCTCACATGAATGAAAGGAGCTGCTCTCATCACCCTGAGCCTCCACTCGAGTCTTTTAAAATGAGATTATTATAACACAGAGATTCAACTCAGGTGGAAAGAAAAAGTTAATTTTTTTCCACTTCAGTTGGTTCATTCAACAAATAAATATTGAGTATTTGTGCTACATGTTTTGAGCTACATATAACAAAATAGTAATAATCTAGTCCTGGTCCTCAAGAAGGTGGGGAAAAAAAAGAACAGTAATAATAATAGCTGGTATTTATATAGTGCTGTAAGGTTTACATATTTTATCTCATTTACTCTTCACAAAAAAGGTAGATACTCTTATTTGTCCCTGTTTCACAGATAGGGAAACTGAGGCTGAGAGGGACTTGCCTAAGGTGTCACACAGCTAGAGAGTGTATGAGGCTGGACTTGAGCTCAGGTCTTCCTGACCAGACAGCTTTTAAATGCCAAAGAAGAGGCACAGAAAGGCAGGCTCCTGAGATCAGGGGAAGGTGTGATCATTATAGCCTGGAAGGGTCAGAGAGGCTTCATAGAGCACATGGGAGATGTGAATTAGGATAGCATTTAAGTCATTATTAGTAGTAGTACTATTATCATTATTATTAGCCATAGGACTAGTAAGTAGTAGTAGTAATAGCAGCAGTAGCAGTAATAATAGAGGGGTAGGAGAAAAAAAGTGAAAAGGGAGGATGGCACCAGACTGGTGAGGGCCCTGAATGTCCAGTCAAGGAAAGTGGACATGATCCTATAGGTAAAGGAAAGAGTAAAGTCTTATCCTTAAACCAAACAAACAAGAAATCGAGAGTGCAAGAGTGAGGTGAAATTGTTAACTAACACAGCTAGGGTCAAATACTTTCAATGGTTTTGTTTTGTCCAGATGTTTTTAAAGATGATCGGCCCAACTCAAGGTCAGATGACTGTCACAAGACTTGTGCGTGCATTAAAGGATGGAAAACGTTTGCAGTGCCCACCTAACTGCCCAGAAGAGGTATTCATGGGACATTCCATTGTAACACACCAAGATGACCATTGGGTCGGATGGGGGTCCTGGGTGGAAAGGAAGTAGATGATGAGAGGGAGGATATTCCTTTAAAGATACTTTTCAGATGCTGAGACATGAGGGGGAAAAAAAATCACTCCATACCTTAAGCCAGATCTCCTACTCTATATATATTATGTCTCCCTCTGCCTTTATATATGTTTTGCCATCTCTAAGACAATTAAGGCAGCTAGAACCTTGAGATTGAATGTGGTGTGACTAAGTATATTATCTTTTCTGTATTCAACACAGCCTTCAAATTTTAAGATTAAATTTAAAACTATTATGTCAAAATGTCCTAAGAAGTAATTTTGGCTATAATTGAGCAGTAGGAATTGGGGGAAGGATGTAAATCAAGCATGAATGATCTGTAAATTCGTTTCTAATCTGGAATTCACTCAATCAGCTCCAGGCTAGTTGTTATATCTATAACCCTAGACTTCCTTCCCAAACTGGATAACAGAAAGAACTGGTAGCTTTTTGAGTTGGCATGGACAATGAGTGAACCAATAAGTATATTGAACTTTGCAAATTGCATCCAGTTTAGTTGTATCTTTCTGCCAAACACTCTAATCTCACTTTAAATTATCTGTTTATTGACTCAGAACTTGCATTTTTTGTAATCCATTTTAAAAAAACAAACCCAACCTAACACCAACATTTTCACTATGGCTATTTTTTTTACAGGTTTACCAACTAATGAAGAAATGCTGGGAGTACCAGCCGAACAGCCGAACGTCCTTTCAGAACCTCATCCGTGGATTTGAAGCACTTATAAAATAAGATCCCATTGAGCAAACACTGCTCGAAGTGCCTACTGCGTGGAAGGCACTCCTGCAAATGTTGGGGCATGAGCATCCCCCCCAAACATTCTTTTGTTTGTGTTGCCCAACAGTTGGTGGTCTACCCTCTGTAGAAGTCAAGTCCCTAAGCTCAATGGGGGGGGTGGTGGGGACGGCTTTTAAAAAAAATTCAAAACATTTGTATTCTCCCCAGATTTGGTCATTCATTCATAAACTATTTATTGAGTGCCTGCTGTCTACAGAGGGGCTTAATATCTTCAGGTGGTTCTTTATAGGTGTTGATCATGGAATGGTGAGATATGAGACCCACATTTTAAGCACTCCTCTTGTTGGAAGGTATCTGCCACCAGCCACTGCAGCTGGTGGCTCTCATTTTACTGGGCTTGCTGGTTGCTGGTGGTTTAGTAACACTCACATGACTTCTCACAAGAATGGTATTTCCAGCAACAAGAAACGTGGCCCAAATCCTCTCTCAAATTATTTGCTTTCACTGGTGGTGATGAGTTCTGTTATGCAACTGAGTCCATTTTCCTGACTTGTCAAATGGAGGCAAGGGCTGTAGGCTTATCAAGTTACCTTTCATGGTACATACAAACTTTCAGTATCTATATAAATGGACCGAACCTTCTGTCAAATGCCAGTTCACATACTGCTCTTTGAAAATGAAGAGAATTCGACTTGAGCTCTTTCTCTCACAACTCATCTTCTTGGATCCCTGGTGACCATCTGTAAAAAGACTGGCTGGGCAAAGGGATGCAGCCTGTGCCCATTGGACAGAGCCTCTTTCAGTCGGAATCGGAACTGACTTGGGAATTGAATGGATGGCATTGACCTTGTTATCGACATGTCCTAACCAGCTGAGCTAGAAGAGCCCCAGTGCCACCCAATAGGCTTTCTTTTCATTCTTTTTTAAAAGTAAAAATGCAGATGTACCTCTTTAATTTCCAACCTTTGCTACAAAAAGGAATTATTCCTAAAGATTTTGACACTTCAGAGGTCAGGCTGGTTTTATAAAATCACAAGTTTGTGTTTTTATGTTGGATGGAAACATTTAGACACACCGCATAAATTGTATTACACTTTTGGATGTTTCTGTACTTGACACGAAAAGGCAAAATGCCTTCACGTAATGGGCGTAGGCACTGAGCCCATTATCATTAGGGGGAGCCTCTCAACATTGACCACATCTCCATCATGTGCAACATGGAACAGGGATGCCAAGACAAGGTAACAGATCGCCACCTAGAGGAATCTTCCCTGCTCGGAAGCTAGTGCCGGCTAAAAGGTGCCAACTTTGGGGATTGCTTGGGGACAGTTAGCTAGCCAGTTAAAGCGATGAGGTCGCCAATCCAATGTGGACAGGAATGGCTTTAAGGAATGTCTGTCTGAAGAATCATTCAAAACTCCATAGTACTAGTGTGCCATTGCTTTTCACCTTCTTATCTTGAAAATGCTTTGGGGAAAGATTCGGGGCTGGTAATAACGAGAGCCAGACAGACGGCCGGAGAGACGGGCTGGCAGATTGAGAGAGTGAGCTAAGGACCTCACTTGATGCCCCTGCCCACATCAGCGTGCTTGTCTTATGCAGATAGTGGAATGTTCCCGGCATTACCCACAATTGTATCTGTCTGGAACCTGTGTTCAACCTATATGCACTTTGTTACTCTTTATACAAATAAATCTAATAAAGAATTGACATGCATGTGTCTTTTTAATATTAAGAATTAGATGAACACAGAGCATTTTAGTTTGATTACATAGAAAAATAACTATGATACATAATTTTCATGGTTTCCCCCCCTTCTCCCCCCCAGTAATGGGCCTGGTTACTAATTATGGTCGTAACAAGCAATAGCAATAGCCCAGATAAAAAATTCCAAGAAACTCCAACTCTTCATGGTAGGCCAAGACTTTAATCCTCTCCACAAACAAACGTTAATGGGTCTGTGCAGCTGCTGGTTAACAGTCCTGATGCTGGAGTTTTCCTTCTCTGCTTTCCTGTTTGCTTCTCTTGAGAAGGGCTACTGATCCCTGAAAACACTGAATGCAGGGCAGGAAGGAACACGGGAAAGGAAAACATGGGGCACAAATCAATGACAAGCAAGCTGTTGAATAATCACATTATATTGCTAAAGATAAGAGGCAGCATGGTGGGGTTGATAGCCAGGACACCTGGTGTTCAAGGCCCTCCCCCTCCCATGTCCACCCCCCTCCATGCTGAGTGACCTTGGACAGATCACATGACCTATAGCAGATGCCCATATGCCATCTTCATTGGCAGAGGAAGTTTCCCCACTGGGAGTTCCCTTTATCAATGAAATCATGAATCTAGTCCTAGCCTCATTCGATCAATCATCTGCAAGTTGAAAAATTCTTAGAAAGTGCTATGTATCTACCCCGTTAGTTTAATTTTCAAAATGTGTGATCAATCAACAAGCATTTATTAAGTGCCCACTGTGTGCAAGGCACTTGGCTACATGCTGGAATGAAACAGATGTGATTTAAGGAACAGAAAGAACAGGCAGGAAGTTAAGCAAATGAAAATTCTCTACAGAGTACAGAAAAGTATTATTAAGCATCATACCATACGACGTAATTAAAATAGGGCAGATTTCCTTTGTGTCTGAAACAGAACGAATCACAACCTTCAATTCTATTCTGCACAAGCTTCGGCTCCTTGAAGAGCCCGGGTCTGCTTGCTCAATTACAGCATTTGTGTCTCACACATCTGGAAACTTTCTGGATTGTAGGGGCTTCCTGTCTCCTCCAGGCTTAGTGCCAGTACTGTCAGGCACTGTACAGGTCAGGGTTTATACTGAAGATGGTAAATTAAGGTTTAGACTCATGGGAGGGGAGGGGGAAACACGCATTTATTAAGCACCTACTATGTGCCAGGCACTGTGCTAAGCACTTCACAAATATCTCATTTGGTCTTCAAGACCAAAGAGGTAATAAATACTGGTACCACAGTAGGCTCCTTCAGAATACTACTACTACTAATAACAAAAACTAGCATTTATATAGTGCTTCAGCTTACTTATCTCATTGGGTAACAGGAAGGAAGATACTGATCACTTGACTGCTTTGGAAGAATGAAGGACATGGTTACCAAAATGACTGAATGACCTCGTGCCTCAGCTCTCTGTCAGGAAGCCGAGTAAGGAGCCTTGGCCTCCCTGCCACCCACAAGTGTGTTGTGAATGAACGTCAAGACTCTCAGGGGTGGGAGGTATGGACTGATTCAAATTCATGGACCTTTCAGAGGGCCAAAGGCCTTTCCCCAAAGTACCCAGAGCCTTGAAAACCAAGTCAAAGTTAGCTAGCTCCCTCTTGTGAGGACTCGATTACCCAAGCCAAAAGAAATGGTAACAACATCATCAAAAATAGTTTTTCACAATTATAATGGAAAAAGAAAGGTGATTCTGTCTATTTAGTTGTTTCTCACTGTTTCACACATGTAAGTAAAAAAAAAAGTGATTTTTAAAATGCAAAGTAATTCTCAAACTTTCAAAGTAAAATAGCTACAAAAGAAATAAAGCTATGGCTAACCATCTTCTACCAAACAATCACACTACCTGTATGTCTCCACGTGGAGTTTGTGCTGCAAAGCTGATTGTATCCCAGGAATTTCTTTTTGCATATAAAGCTTTCTCAAAACAAGGTCATGGCTGCTGTTTGGAACGTGCTTTTTTTTACAACTGTGGGCAAAGCTCAGACAATCATAGACTTAGAGTTCAAAAAAGTCTTAAAGGTCAATGGGTCCAACCTCTTCATTTTATAGATGAGGAAACTAGGGAATTTAGGTATACGTAGGTCAACCAAGTGGTAACAGGAAGTAGTTGGAACTCGACTCCAAATACAGTGTTTTTCCTGCTACATCATGATCTCTCACACCTACAAAGGAAACTAACTAGCAGAAACAGGTTGGAATGCACATTGGCTTACAGGGTAAACTAAAAGGAAAACAAAAATCAACCTGTCATTAGACTCACCCTTCTAAGGCTCAGGAAACAAAGGTTTCCTCTTTATTGCTTTAGACGATTAGAGAAGGTATCAAAATGATTATGGGAAAATTGGTTTCTGCAGTCAGAAAATAATGAACAATTGTTAATCTCAGCAATCTATGATAAGTTTAACACATTATTTAGGATGCACCTAATACTAGCGGGAAATGGTCTCAGTGGATGTCTTTTTTTTAAAATTATTGCTTCTTATTTTCATTTGGCAAATCTGCCATCTGTGAAGCACTCGATGCTCCTCCTGGGAACGGTGATCCATTTTTTTCAAAGAGATGGCTAGTCTGGCGGACTTTAAGGCAGCGATGAACAGCAGAGATCCTGGAAATGAGCTACGCGGAGCAGACAGGAAGACCGACCAATGGAGGGAACCTCAGTAGACGCGTTTCTTCTTTAAATAGGATTCTGCATAATACCCTCCTGTGCCCTGAGAATGTTGGTCAACAAATTCCACCGAGCTCCCTTCAGGGGCAGAAATGAGGTATGAGGAGCCTCTCTTTTCATTTCTTAAAGGTGAAGATACCTGAAAGAAAGTAACCATTAAAAATAGTAACCAATAAAATCTTAAGCTCAGAGCTTGTCAATTATCGAAAATGTGTGTAGCTGACCCTTGCCCTTCAGCCTCACCAGTTTCCACAACTGTTCTCATTTGATGCAGAAAAGAAAAGGGCATAAGAAGCAGTTGGCATCTTCCTCCCAGAAATTCACATGCTCATATATTAAAACAACAGAATATCTCTAGGAAAAAGTCATGCAGTGACTCTATAAAGCCTGAGAGGGGAACCAATAGATTATACACTACAGAGAGGAGCAGAGATGATAGAAAGGAAGATCACTGTCCCTCTTTCTTCCACTCTCCTCCATTTCTCTTCCTGAATATTATACATTTTTTTTAGACAATTGGGGTTAAGTGACTTGCCCAGGGTCACACAGCTAAGTGTCATGTTTTGTCTGAGGCTGGATTTGAAGTCAGTTCCTCCTGACTTCAGGGCTGGTGCTCTATCCACTGTGACACCTAGCTGCCCCATATTATACATTTTAATTAAATTGTTTCTATCTCCCTCTTATTTCTATCCTCCTGCTACATTTGTTTCTACCTTCCCTTCTATCTCCCTCTTCCCTCTCCCTCTTTCCTTTCTCTCTCATTTCTCTCTTCTCTAGCTCTCCCTTCCTTTTCACTCCTCCTTTCTTCCCTTCTCTCCATCCTTCCCTTTCTCCCTCTCCCTACCCCCTCTCCTTTCTCTTCCCTTTCCCTCATATATATCCCCATATATATCCCCTATGTCTGCCTTCCTTTTCTCTCCCCCTTCTTTTCTTCCCTTCTCTCCACTCCCTCTCTTCTCCCTTCTCCTCTTCTCCTCTTCCATCCCTCCCTCTCTCCCTCACCCCTCCTACTCTCTCTTCTCCATCTCTCTCTCCTCCCTCTCCCTTTCCCCTCTCTCTCACTTTCTTCTACAACCTTCACTCTCTCTTCCCTTCCTCCCTTCTTCTCTCTCTTGATCTTTGATTTTCTGGGGAGACAGGAAGAATGTATCTGAAAATGAAGGTAATGTGAAAAACAAAAGCTAGAATACATTTTTTTAAAAAAGAAAATAACTTTTAAAAACTGTCTCACTCAGGAGTGATCAATATCAACGCTGACAAAGTGGCTTTCAAGAACGCCACTTTGTGATCCAACCATTCTGGAGAGCAATTTGGAACTATGCCCAAAGGGCTATAAAAATGTACATACCCTTTGATCCAGCAATAGCACTTCTAGGGCTGTATCCCAAGGAGATCATACAAATGGGGAAAGGACCCACATGTACAAAAACATTTATAGTAGCTCTTTTTGTGGTGGCAAAGAATTGGAAATTGAGAGGATGCCCATCCATTGGGCAATGTCTGGATAAGCTGTGATATATGAATGTAATGAAATACTATTGTGTTATAAGAAATGATGAGGAAGTGAACTTCAGAAAAACCTGGAAAGACTTGTATGAACTGATGCTGAGTGAAGTGAGCAGAAGCAGGAGAACATTGTACACTGTAACAGCAACATTGTGCAATGACCAGCTTTGATAGATTCAGCTCTTCTCAGTAATGCAATGATCTAAGACAATTCCAAAAGACTCATGCTGGAAAATGTTATTCACATCCAGAGAAAGAGGTATGGAGTCTGAATGCAGATCGGAGCACACTATTTTTCCTTTTCTGGGGGAAGAGGGTTTCTTTCTTGTAGCTTTTTCCTTTGGTTCTAATTCTTCTCTATAACATGATTAATGTGAAAATATCTTTAATGTGAATGTATATGTAGAGCCTATATCAGATTGCACACTGTCTTGGGGAGGGAGGTGGGGAAGGAGGGGGAGAAAATTTAAAACTCAAAATCTTATAAAAGTGAATGTTGAAAACTAAAAAGAAATATATATTTTTTAAAGATTACATTAAAAATAATTATAAAAAATGTCACCCTGACCCCAGACTTTCTTGCTCCCAGCTTTGGCAAATAGAATATAAAAGATTTGGTGTAGTTAGGGGAACTACATACAAAAGGAATAAAAAGACTGTTAAGGAAAATAATATGAGAGCCCTGTATATTAGGTGGTACAGCACACAGAGCACTGGGCCGGGAGTCAGTCAGGCCAGACCTGAGTTCAAATCCTGTTTCAGACACTAGCTGTGTGACCCTGGACAAGTCATTTAACCCTGTTTCCCTCAGTTTCCTCAGTTGTAAAATGGAGATAATAACAGTACCTACTTCACAGGGTTGTTGTGAGGCTCAAACGAGTTAACAGTTATAAAGCACATACAGCAGTACGTAGCACATAGTAGGTGGTACCTAGATGCTTATTCCCTCCCCTTCCCTTCCCCCTATGTATTTTCTGGTTTTGTGCTTTAAAATAATTTGATTAAAATTTACGACAAATTTCTTATTGATCTTGCAAAAACTTCCTAACATTTTATCAGTTCACATTTGTCCATGGGTGCCACGATATACTTTTGGAGAAGATTCAGTTTTAGTATGAATGCCAGACATGCAGAATTCTAATTTTATTTTATTTTTTGTGAAAGCACACAACATTGCTTTAAGGTGACTTTAAAGCCTATTTATCTATTTGAATTCTTTTACAGATTCCAAAATTTATTCTGTCACTCTTTCTATCATTCATATTCTGGGCAGATCAGCTAAATTCTTTTTTTTTTTTGGTTAGGCAATGGGGTTAAGTGACTTGTCCAGGGTCACACAGCTAGTAAGTATTTATGTGTCTGAGGCGCATTTGAACTCAGGTCCTCCTGAATCCAGGGCTGGTGCTCTATCCATTGTGCCACCTAGCTGCCCCTAGATCAGCTAAATTCTTAAACTTGTAATGAACTAGCCTGAAATTGACATGTATGTCTTCTAGATCATAGACATTTAAAACAGGAACAATTCTGAGCCTTTGTGACACCAAAGTGTCTCTCCTCCTTCTAAACCTGTGGGTATCTGGTAACTCGCTTTTACGGTATTTCTAAATACTACAAAGTCCTGAGAGAAAAGAGCAAAAAAAAAATGTTGTGCAGTGAAATGTTAAGACCACTTATTTCCAAAGAAATATAAAAAATAAACAAAAGAGGCTTTTACCAGCATCACAGAACCTTAGCATGATGAAAGACTGAGATCCATAGAGTTTCAATTTCAATTTCAATTTAATTTTTCAATTAAATTCATTTTGAACCAGGCATGAGTTCATCTGTAGAGGGAGATGCTAGTGAGGAAGTCCCCTCTACCAATGTAGACTGGCACCTGCTCTACAACTAAAGAGTTTTGCCTGGGACCCTGAGAGATGAAGTGGCTTGTAGCCATATTGTCAGCATGTGTCAGACATGGGACTTGAAGCTGGGTCTTCCTGCTTCTGAGGCCAGCACTCTACCAGTTCACCATGCTGACCCCAGAATTTAGAGCTGGAAGTAACTTGAGAAATCATCTAACCTAACAGCCCCATTTTAAAGATGAGAAAATGGAGGCCCATAGAGCTTAAGTGACTTGCCCATATCATAGTTATGTCCATGTAACTAGTTAAGTGTCAGAGCTGAAATTTTAGCCCAGGTTTGCCAACTTCCAATCCAGAGCTCTTTCTGCAAACGTCCTAATACATAAATTAGAATTAACTTGGTACTTCTTGCCATCAGAGTCCACAGTAACAGACAGCATCTAATTGGTATCTGAACCAATCTAGCCAATGACTCAATCAGTCATTAATTAGCCTGGTGTTAGAGTTTGCATTTCTGAGCTCCTCCAATGCTGTGGGAAGATTGGCTTCTCCAAAAGCTTGCTCCTTCCTGGCATTACAGGAAGAAATACCCCAGCAGAGTGCCATCCTTGAGTTGTTTTACAGACATGATATTCTCAGCAAGAAATTCTTTAAAAATTCAGCCAACTCTTCACCTTTTAATTTGAATTTGAAGCATATAGTAAATGATAAAAATGACACTAAGTCTTTGGATACCACTTAGGTACTTGCATTATGTTTCTCTTCATATTTGCCAACTTTTTCTCTTCCCTTTATTCAGACCAAGGGCTTTTAACCTGGACTCCCTGACTTTTAAAAAAAATTCTGATGATTTTTCCATATAATTGGTTTCCTTTAAAGTCTATGAATTTAAAAACACAATTCAGAGAAGGGGTGTAGGTCTCACCAGAGCACTCAGAGGGTCCAGGACATGCAAAAAGGTTGATAAGCCCTGGTTCATTTTATTTTTCATAGTGACTATAATTTTAAGTCTAGCCAAAGGAAACCTTCTGGCTTTGTGTTAATGTACACTTACTTTCCACTTTTGTGTGTCACAAGAGGATTTCCTATTTCCTTTCTTAGCTGTTGTAATTAACTCTCAGGCTCTGAATTTTATGGTCAGTCACTTGCCACTCACAGAATTAAAAAGAGAACTCAAATTACAGACTTTGAAAAGGGGAAAGGACCTTCTTTCATGCCCAAGATTATGGGATTTCTAGAGACTTTCTGACTGTCTCTTTTCCGTGTTCATCATGCTGGGTGAGAGGTGCAATTGGCAATGATACTGGTATTGCATCTCACCTCTTTATCCTTCTACTAATGAGTTTGGGATGGGGGGGTGTTCTTAAGGCTGGTCTTAGAGGTATAACCTTTGAAAGGGAACGTTTCCCTCTCAACAAAACTGAAACTGGAACTTGGTTTTACTGCCCCCAGGTGGTAAGGCCTTGATTACAGCCACTCAGGGGCCCCCGAAGTAAGGTTTAAATTTTAAGCAGATCCTGACTGACAGATGTTTGCCTTTTTTAAGACACATAACTCTGAATTAAAAGAGCTGAATTGAAACGTTTTAAAGATATCCTATTTATTGAACACAAATCTTTGGAGCAACTTTTGAAAACAAAGTTGCAGTGGCACAATCTGGTCCTTTTCTCATCACCTTGGATTTCCTTCGTCAGGTTACCCTGAATTTGCTTCTTGCCACCAAATTTTTTACTAGCAATTAGGTGTCACCTTGGGACCTGATTTGGCCTCCTCACAACCCAGATTGCTC